AATATTTTACGTCAAATTGATTTAAAACAGCATTAGTATTGGCATCAGGTGTTTATATTACGTATTGCTATATTTGTTACAAATTACTACATGTTTATTGCGTCGGAAGATCTAGGTACTCAAGGCTTTGATATTCTTATATCGATACAAGATTTAACTTTTAGAACTTAATTAATTCCCAGTGTTGTCTCCACAATAAACTTTGTAACGTTCCTTTGTTCACTCAGAAACTAATACGGATTCCCGTTTAGTTGACTTTCACCTCCTAATTATACCCATTCGTCGTTGGTACCTAGGTATATCCCAGCTTCGACTTTCACTAAGTAATCAACTTCATAAACGATGAAGGAGAAAAGCTGGGTACGGGTTACGCCTTATATTAATGCGTATACAAGTATGTACCAATGACCCATTGGCTCTTTTAGCAAACAACTTAGATTACTGGTTCTTCAATGGGTACTAGTTAACGAGATAAATAACTTCATTACATTAAATGCTGTAATTATGTTCGAGGGGTAAGTTTTAATGCCCAATTCAAACATATAAATCTTTCATAAGTTAGATGTTATGTTTTCAATAAAGCTTTCGATTTAGATAACACAAAAAGTTGTTTATACACCTCCAGATTTAAAAATTGCCTTGGATAATCTAATAATTGGTTATTATGTAAATCACGTCTCCAAAAATTGGACTGTATAGTACATAATTATGTTTCGTAGTCCCTTGTGTACAAGTCTAGGGAGAGTTCCCCAAGGAAGCATACTGGGACCAACACAAAAAATACTTGGAAAACGTTACATTCAAATTTGTCTTGATATTTTTTACTGAATATACCTATTTTAGTAACTGCAATAATTTCAAAAAAGCAAATATAACGTTAGATAAGAATATCAAAGCTAAGAGACTTAACACTGTTTTGTTTCTTAACAATAATAAATGTGGTGTGCTATATTTTCTTAACTATGGACAGATTATAAAGGGAAAATATTAAGGTCTATAGGAACAATAAAATATTAAAACAAATAGAGTATTTCATATATGTACTTTCAAATGCTTTATTTTACTCACTTCCAAATTTCCTAATTTCCTAATTGTAATTATTACATCTCTGATTTAGGCTTTTAGCACTGGCCTTAATATTTTCCGTGCTACAAAAATAGGATGATATAACAATTACTATTTAAAACATAAATGTATAAATCAGTCTTCATCAAAATAATACATTTGATAAACTTGATTTATGGAATGATACACTAATCAATAACCATGTAATTTAAACAGCTTAATCACAAAATTGGACTCCTAGCATAACTAATTATTCATTACGATTCTTTTTTATTATTATTAGACAACAAATTTAAATTTTTAGACACATTTTTGTTCATAGGCCAAATATAACGAACCAATTACAATTTCAAAAAATAATACATAATAATTAAGACACATACAGACATAAAATTCAAGATTTACATATTCAGATATTACATTAACAATGCACATAAGTGAAATAAGACAGTTTAAAAAGTATTGCAAGATAAATAAAGTGCTGCGAAAATGCGTTAAATTGTTAAAAAATAAGTAACTAGATGTACATTTTATTCAAACATCGTTTAAAAGTAAACATTAGAAAACCAGGAACTATTTAATTCCAATCACATTAATGAATTTCTTAATCAAATAAGGCTACTGGTATTTTTATTCTCCATGGCATAAGGTACATGTCTGATTGAAATAAACAATAATTATGTATACTATGGCTGAAAAATAGATCTGAAGGGCCCACGGGCGATATTTGCAAAGTTCCAGAATCTTTATTAAGCAGCAAACAATATTATTGAAGCTTGAGAAAAAAATCGAATGTGCTATCTCAAACTACAAATGGGCATGTACCTCTCTAGAACATCTCATTATATGTATTTAAGAAAAATTACTAAAATTAGACACTTTACAAAGTTTCTGAATACATGGCCGTTTCACAATATCTGATTAAAGGCCGATTTTTGCAACGCCAGATAAATTTTAACTGAGGAATAACTTCGAATATTTAAACATTTCTTCTATACTAAAAACTGTCAAATATCAATTTTATTCTACAATCTACAGTTAAGGAATAACTGATGATTGAAAAATCAGCCTATAGTATATATTAGCCTGTTTTTATAATAGCTATCGTGAGACAACTACTAAATTAACTAAAAATTCCGGGTTACTCATGTGAATATACTAAGAAAAGCTCTACTAGTTTCGAACCACAGAGGGGTTCTGCCAGCGTGCGCGGTCGCGGTGATGTATGATTGATGATGAAGAATATGTTGCGCGATACAGACACGCGACCCTTCTGTGGTTCAAAACTAGTAGAGCCTTTTTCAGTATATCCATGTGAGTAACGCGCGAATTTTAGTTAAATTAGTCTAACTGACAGATAAACAGCCATATTTTCCACAACAAAAGTGTCACTACAGCTGACAGAAAGAACCAAATTAGACATTGTCAATCGAGCTCTTATTTAAATCCAGAAAATCTGATCAACAGAGAAACATTTTAACAAATACATTGTTCAATTCCGTTTACTATGCAACTGTGTGATATAATACTTAATTGTATTTAAACGACTATATCAGTCTTAAGCCCGTATTATTGGTACCAAAAAGCAAATCTATGATTGTGTTATACTTGTGATTTCCAATGTATTTCTAATGTAATAATTAATTTAATTGAAATTAACTGATTTTTCCACCGTGTCCCGTAAAAGTAAATCTAGCAGATCTACTTAAGTATAATAAGCTTTTGATAAGTAATAAATAAGGAACATTGCAACAGTATAACTGAGTTCAGTTGATATGAAGGATATTAAGATTGATTTCTGTTTCAATGTCACAAATAGGAATTTACTTTCTCCAACACATGTTAGAATTCATAATGTAGAACTAAATTTAATTTAGCTCTAACTAAATATGTGTTTCAACTATACCTGAAACTAAATATCCTTAGATATTTATCTAAAGAGCTAATACGTAAATGTTGAACTGACAATGAATTACCTAATTCACATTTGATACTAAATCTAGTACAACAAACCAAATTAATCTAGTTTAAAATTTTCCGAAGCTTTAAAATTAATATTAAGGGAATGCAAACAAAAATGCCAATAAGCAGTGGAATCCTACACATGAAACATTTAAAACATTAATTTCACTTAGTAAATATACACATTGAGGTTACATTCAAATATTTAGGCACTAAAAGTTGAATTTTATACATAGTATACTGTAGAGCTATATAAGTATAACATTAGAGATATTAGGATCACAAACTTTGAAGGACATATAGATAAAGGTAGTATAGATACCTAATATAAATAGTCAAAAACTGTTCTCCTATATACATCGGACATTCATGTTCCAATACTTTTAAAACATTCCAATTATCATTATTATTACTTTCGTGAAACATACTAAACTATTTTTTTTTCGGCTTGCTCACATAATTATTCCAGTAGCAGCGCGAGTCGCGAAATGCTGCTCATGAATATAAGCTTCTAGCATGGCTTGAGAGTAGTTAAGTTCCTCGTCGAATAATTACGTGAGTAAGCCGAAAAACATAGTAATTAATCACTTGATACACGCCAGTCAAATTACTCCAAACGATTTTCAACTCTATTCCAATTTAATCAAGCTGAAATTCCACCTAAGAAATGCGTAGCTTGATGTGCTGGCGGTTGACTTACCTACTAAACTTATGGAATATTGAATACTTAATAAACAACAGCAATTTATTGCCCATAGGAATCCTTTGTTACTTTTAACTAAAAAATTATTCGAGATTGTTGTTAACGACTTATTTTCGATAGTGCTGCCATCTATGTATAGCAGATTGAAACACCAAGTGTCGGCACACGGAACTACACAGTAATACGTGTATTTGTGTATAGATTCTGTCGAACAAATGTATCTGCGTGTCATCTGGTTGTGAAAGGCGTTAATTGAATTATACATTAGCGATAAGCCAATAATAGATTTAACAATCAATTGACGTGTTCAATAGTGATATAATATAACATAACATCTCATAGACGATTACCACGACATGACATCATATTTGCTTCATATTTATTAAATTTATTTCTCAAAATGTAGACTGTGAAATTATTGAGTTTCTCAAAAATGAACTGAAATTTTACACGGAACTGAGTATTGATGATTCATGACCAGAGATTCCCGAGTTGCACTCACTCAACCAATAAAAGTCTAATTCAATAATATGATGTCAAACGCTGAATAAATATTAATGGCTTGCAGTCACATTTATTCAACAGTATAATAACACAACTATACTATTACACAAGGTGTTTAAAACCTTTTGCAGGAAACTTGTAAGAAAATCTGTAATATGTTACAACACGTTATTCTTTACTACCATCATTGTCTATGTTCCATTCTCAAAAACTTCAAACTAAAGTTGCTCACTTCAGTAATACAATCACCCTAATATTGCCTTTAAAATTATTATCTAAGAAAATAAAAGAATCTGATTAAATACTCAATATAAGCGTGCATAAAATATAACATATACATCGTGTACAAAAATAAGTTTTTTGCATAACATTAAAACAAATTGTAACAATATTTTGGTTTGTGAGCGGACACGCTACTTTTTATTTGGCGATTTGGCAACTATAAAAATACTGTGTTGCTTTTTGACGACCGTACTACATAGCGAGGTATAGAACTCATAAATCACTTGGCTTGAACTCAAATAGCGAAGTTTCAAAATTAGTGTTATCGATTTATGATGTAGTCCATACTTAATTGCTATGATTCATGACTATAATTCCCGGTAAGAGTCGCCTTCATCTTAAAACGAAACATTTCCAACTTCGTCATAAGTAAGTAGCGTATCTGCCCATAATCACACTCACACATGACTCATAAAAGCAGTCATTTAAATCCAATAACAATATCGATAAATACATTAGTGTTCAACACATTGACCATATTATATCAATTAATATTCATACCGGTTACACCGAATTTTATAGGATCCATTCCAACATTAATTAAACCGTTTACCTTATGGCCTAAATATTCTTCTTCGTACACACCGTTGCAATCTCCATTTGAGTATACTTTATTCGCTTTTCTGCCTTCAGCCTCTTCTATAGAATCTAGTAGATGTTCAAAGAAATTTGGGAAATTATCGTAGCTTGGGTACACGTTGATATCAATGACTGCATGTCCACCAGTCACATTGTCAATAACTACATCAAACCCAGCCAAAAGCAACCCTATCCTCTTTCTTAATATTCTTATGATAGTTTTGATCTTGTCCTCGTTTAGCGTCATTGTAATATCGGCCTTATCGTGAGGGTCTAAAATTGATAATGTGGATTGACTATCTGCTTTACAAACCTCGCCTGTACTATAATAAATTGGTTCTAGATCATCTGATGCGTAGAAGTTCTTTAGACTAGGTCGCTCGCAAATGTGGTACCTGGAATTATAAATATTCATATTAACATTTATAATGAATATTATTGTCATAAAATTTAATTTTTAAACACAATGCATGGTTTGCGCAATTATAATAATAACCAGGTAAATAATAACTATTGAAAACAATATAATATAAATGAATGTGGCGTGAATGTGTTGTTTCGTATTTATGAAATCAGGTGTAATCATGTTTAATAATAAATATGACACACAAGATATGGCGAATGTGATGTGTTTGTGTACATTAACCTTGTAAGGTTAAATATAAATACTGAGAATATGGAAATTTTATGGTATAAATTAATATTTATTTATTTATCGCAGTTGCAAGGACAAATACTCGAATATGACCCCCAACTGAACTTTTTGGGATTTCCCATTTACGAAAATCTGCTGTGCAAAATATTAGGAAACTGTGGTTTTGTGGCTTTACCTTAAAACTAGAAACATGCATGTATCATATTACTCAACAATTTATTTAACAGAAAAAACAAGCATTATAATACTAAAAAGAATAATACCGACCTATCTCCTATTAGGAAAACTTTATGTAATACTGCATTATGGTTAACAAAGTTCTGTACAACACAGGGAGGTTTGCATACATGCAACCCTTTCTCATTAAATATCACAATCATATCGTGGGCCGACTTAGATCCGTGAGCTATGGTTGGCTTGCAGATGACCGGGAACTTGACACCTCTTTGTCTCATGATCTCCATGTTCATTTCTATATTAGCTGTCGTAAATTCTGCGAAGGATGGAGTAAATATTCCTTGTTTACGAAGCGATGGCTCGTCTTGTAGGATTGTGTAGTAACAATATCTGAAATGTTTTAAGGATTATTTTAGTTTTCTCTTGTGTGTATGGGTGTATGTCTGAATATTGAGGAAGCTAAGGGAATGTTTAGGATCGTAGCAGGCAGTAGCGCTGTTTTTATAATAACTATCGTGAGACATACTTGACTCGTGGGTTCTTCCTCATGAGGAAGAACCCCTGTGTGGTTCGAAACTAGAAGACCTTTTCTCAGTATATTCACGTGAGTCACCCGCGATAGTTATACAGATATTTAGTTAATTTTGTAGCGCTGTAGTTTCGTTCTTCCCCTATGAGACACAAAAGTATGACTTAAAAAATCATTCTTTATGTCTGTCATTTTGCATTCAGCAGCTTCCCACAGACTTTATTGATATCGTCCTTCTGTTTACCTATACTGTTGAGCTGGCAGCTCTGTTATGTTTTAAGGACTAGGAATAGTATTAACCTATTGTTTTCCATGATTCATACTCCCAACCAAGTGTACACTTGGAGTATAAAGGTAGGCCAGTAGGTATTATGATTATTGAAAAAATATCATTATAATTTGGCTTGGGATCCTGAAACCTGACCCATTACACACAACCTAACAGCTAACACACATTACATTTTACTAGGTAAATAAAGTAGAATATTAACAGCCTAACGATTCTAATGTACGTAATCTTTTATCATGATAAGATACATTGTAGTAGCGAGATAAAGACACTGTAAACATTTGTAAGAGCAATAAAATGCAATCTTCAACTGTCAATGACTTCTTACTTTGTTTTGTTAAGTAATTATCAAGGGATCTTAGGTCAAGACATCAATTAACACTAATCACTGCACTCATATAATTACTCTTGTAGTCTATACAAGTGCTGAGATAAAAAGTACTTTATGTGTACAGAGATAGGGATTAAAATGCAGGTCACAAAGAGGCCAAATGTCAAACTTCATTCAGTAACTTTTACATGGTAAGTCTATCCATTCATACTTTATTATTATTAAGTTTTGTATCTTTATTTTAGATTCATCCTGCATTGTGTCACTTTAGAAATTGAAATTGTTTTAGAAGCGTTCCTTGCAGGAATCGATGCCACACACAAATGCACAGAAAAATTAGAACTATATAATATAAAACAACCATTCTCTACATACCTGTTAAGTAATATCCTGACATTGTCCAAAGGATCGATAACTGTTATATTCGGATGATTTGACAGGTATTGTTCCACTCGACTAATGGTTATTGATGCCTGATAACAGATAACAGAACATTTACAAAGAAATTAATGATGAAAGTCCATTATTGTTATAACTGTACAGCATTTTGCTCTTAACTACTAATGGGAAATATTGATAGACAGGGTGTAAAGGGAATGCTCTCGAAAAACCACTGTTGGGTGATGGTACAAAGCAAGTTTTATTTTCATAAAATTAAGTAATTCAATGTTTATTTTATGTAATCAACTGCTCAAAGCTGACGTTGCATGAATAACACGAAGACAAAAACAAAAACCTTTTTGTTAGCGTTTCGGGACCAATTTTTGCCGACTTCAAAAAAAGAAGGAGGTCCTATGTTCGACTGATTGTTTTTTTTTACAAGCATGTTAATATAATATCAAGAGCAAGGATTAGGAGAGGATAGAATTGACTCTCCTAACAGAACTGGTATAGTGGATGCTACATTGTAATCTGTACATCACCCTTTGCCTACCATTTCTGAAAATAAATGGTGTGACGTTACGCATACAAATTGTAACATACATTTAAATCTATTCAACAATATGTAATAAATGACATCTTTGGCATTTTTCCAAATAGGTTGAGGACAGGCATAATCCTTCCCTATTATTTTATGAGAAGGCTATAAACCTTATACATGGCCATTAAACAGGCGTGTTTGACAATGTCTAAAAGTTACTGTTAGCACATGAAATTATTCATCAGTTACCATAACAGATACTTAATCAGACATTGTGATACAAGCCTTTGTTGAACTTATTCCTAAAATCAATCTTCTTAACAACTGGCCTTTCTAGTAATAATCGTAATTCATCTTCATCATGATTTATTTATAAAGACTTTGTAAAGACAACTCAATTAAAAAGTGATTGCCCATCCAATCAAACGTTAAATAAAAAACAAATCAGGAAAATTATCTCAATTACTTTTTTGTTCCTACAAAGCTGTTAATTTCGTTTTTATATTCCACTCACTTGAGTGTGACCAATTTATTGTCTTTTATTGACCCTGCAGAACGAGGACATTAATTCCTATTAAAAAAAAACAATAAAGGAAAATGACCATGAAACAAATTCAAGTTTTGAAGGTGATAAGAACTAGCTCATATATCACTGTTTAACATCCTGCTAATATAAGGCATAGCATTGATAATATAATTTCATGTAAATATACATAGTTAAGTGATTAAATAAAGGACAAAATCTATTGCTCTTTCATTACTCATAAGAGTCAATTAAAATGAGTCATCTTCAAGTCATTTTAGAGGTTTACTTTATAGGTAGCAAAATATTATGGAGATGATATCATCATGGTGTTTATCTTAGCTTTTATTATTTTTAGAAATAAGTAAAACTTATTGATTGTTATACCATAATTTCCTTACTTGAATAGATTTGACCTAGAAAACAATTAACACACCTCCCAACTCCTCTGACAATATTTGAAGACTAAATTTGTTTAATAAACAAATATGGTTAATTTACCTTTGGGTCCCCATAATCAGCAGCAGCAATGACATCAGTTAATTTGTGAAGGAACACATTAATTGGTCCCTGTTCCTCTAATGATTTATCCAAATCCAACTGTAAGTAATAATTGAATCATAATAAATTCTTAATCTTTAAGTAGAGTAAATAAAATCTTTGCACAGCTTATTTTATTAAAAATGAAGTTCCCATCTGTATAAAGAAATATATCAAAACTCAAGTTATATTCCACAGATGGTCTTAACACTGCTTATATTTTAATTATTGAAAATTATGCTGTTGCAATGACCAAGTCTTACAAATCACTTAATTTAATACAAGTATTACTCACTCTTACTAAATTGTATCCATGAGAAGCACACGCCTTTATAAATTCCTTCCAGTTAAGTTTCTGACTCTTTTTGTCAGACATCCATAAACCAATCGTTTTATTCTGCGGCTCGTAACTATCCATCGTAATAAAATTATTCAATTAGCCAAACTTTACAGTATTTTTCTAAATTAAAAATTAAACTAATTGCTGCTATATTATATTTTGTAAATAAAGATTTGAACTGCAACTCAATGGAAAAACACTGATTTTAAAAACAACTTGAAATTAAATACAAGGATAAGCATGTTACTTATTTAAATACTAAACTCTACACGGCAAAATTACAAAACAATAATAACACGGAGCTAAACGCGGCGCGATCGACCAAACGTCAAATTATTTGATGAGGAAGGAATTTAGGATGTAGTGTTGTACCGGTGATTTACATATTTGATTCACCCATAAAAGAAGGACATCACTTTAAAGTATCCCAATATGCAATCGACTAATTTAAGTAACTGTACACCTATGAGTTATTGCTAGGATATATCAAGTTCCTTAAAAATATTGTTTAATGTAAATATGTAATAGTCTTATCTCAATTAAATAATTGTTATTTTATGATAGTATAGTTCATGTTGCCCGAGCTGTCTGTCTTTAATCGTTTATCATGTAAACTTGTCCACATAAAGGTGATAACTTTACAAATAAAACTATGTGTATAACATTTCAGTCAATCCATTTCAATATATTTTTTACCCAAGGTCTTCTCTATAATTCGACTAATGGTAAATGACAAAATGTTGTAGATGTATTTAGTGTCTATTATTACGTCCCTATCTTTAGTTTTAGTTTTTAATTTGGTTGTGGTGGAAATATTATTAAACGTCAAATCAAATACAAGACATGACACTGACAGTGCTAAATTGCATGGTCCGCTTTCCGCATGGTTATTGTTTAATGTTTGCATTATTTTGTTACTTTGGTGTATGAAGTTTTGTAAAATTATACAACTGTGAAGCTCTAAATTTTTTTTGAAAAGGAAACTTAATATTATTGTATTACTGACTCCCCCAATAATATAATAAATAATCAACAAAAATGTCTGAGGAAAATGTAGTAAATGTAAAACATCGTATGTTACAATTACTTTCTGATGTGGACGAAGCTGATATGGAAACGATTGAACAATGGATATGTAATCGATCATACAGAAAGGGTAAGTAATTTGTCTAAAACAGGAATAGGAATATCTACTGGAGATCAATTTGATGGTTATGTCTAATACTTTTTTTTTGCAGATTTAGAACGTTTAAAAGCGTTGAAAAGTTCACAGAAAACACTCGTAAAAATTGGTAATTCAATTAAGAAAATTGTGCCATTTGAAGCAGAGATGCCATCAGAAATTATAAAACCACCAACAGTTGGAAATCAAGTAGATTGCAATGAAATCAATACATGCCATGTGGATGAATTCCTATATGATGATAATGAAGTAGAAAAACTTATTAAAAAAGGGAAACTAAAAAAATACTATTGTACAAACTGTAACCATCGGGATGTACAAGTGATTATATTTTTAATTATATTATATTCAAAATAATTCTATTGAACAAATTAATGGAAATTAGAATAATAACAAACTTGTTCTGTTTCAGGAATTGATATACATTTCACATTCAATGTCCTGTCAAGCTCTACAATACATATTCAAAGTTTTGCTTCCAAGTGATTTAGAAGAAAAGCAAATTTTGGATGTTGGTTCACGATTAGGTGCAGTTTTATATGGTGTAAGTAGCAACACTACATAAATGTTATTCTTGTTGGTCGGTTTTGATGGTAAAACTTTTTAAACTGCATGGTTGGTGCGGTGGCTGGGCCACTGGCTGCCACTCAATGTGTAGAAGGTTTGATTCCCGCACGGAACATCTCTTTGTGTGATCTACAAATTGTTCCGGGTGTTATGTGTGTGTGAACTTTTATGTTTGTAAATGCACCCACGACACAGAAGAAAATCCTAGTGTAGGGCAATATTTTTTTAAAGAAAGAAAAAACATTTTCTTTTACAGGCTTACTTTTTATCGAATGCTGGAACTATCATAGGTGTGGAAATGAATGAAGAATGTTGTGATGTTCAAAGGAGAATCATTGAACAGCATACAATGGACACTAACAGAATAAAAGTAGTTCACTCTGATATAATGGAAAGGAGTGATCTTGTGACAAACTCCAATATTATTGTAATAAATATCTTAGAATTCTTTGTTGACAATGAAAAACATAAGGAAATGTGGTATTTCTTCAAGAAATATATTAAGAAAGGAAGTTATCTTGTTTGTAACAGATCTATGACTGATACATTTGTAAATTTAGATATATTTGAAGAATTCATGAATTGGTTGAGTGTTTGTAAACCACATCAAATAGAAAATGAAATACTTTTTGATATTGAGGATTATGAAGATTTGTACTTGTATACTGTTAATTAAATAATATAAAAACAGATTCTGTTTCATTTAAAACAAAATGAGTGTAGGTATGTGTGTACTTTATATTATTTTACAGAATTAAAATGTATTACGTACTCATAAACATATTTAAATTTGAAAAAAAACTAAGGATATTGAAATTTCAATGTCCTTGTTAGTTTTACTACTTTATGACTTAGGACCGATTTTTACAACGCTAGTTAAATTTTATGAGAGAAATAAGTTTCAGTTAAGAATTATTCAAACTTATTCCTCTCATAAAATTTAAGTGGCGTTGGAAAAATCGACCCTTGAACATCTAAATTTTACGCACTTTTTAGGTAGCAAAATCTTCCCCATTCTGAAGAAATTATTTTAAAATAAATGATTATTATAAAGTCGCAAGTGCGACTGCTGGGCAAGGGGTGCCGGGTTCGATTCCCGGGTCAGATAAAGTATGTATTACTAACATAACATCACACCTTTTTATCCCCGAAGGGGTAGGCAGAGAGGTGCACATTACGACACTTAATGCCACTATACAATGTAACACCCACTTTTCACTATTTATGTTATGAGTCCCATGTAATAGGGGGCGAGTCTATTGCCATATACCGGGCACCTTTCCAGACTCCGTGCAATTACTCAGATTTTTGAAAAATCCAATAATACTTTGTCCGACCCGGAAATCGAACCCGAGACCCCTTACCGGCAGTCGCCCTTGCGCCCATTCGGGTTACTGGGTTTGTAAAACAAAATCAGTGGTATATCGCTATTGCCATATGCATATATATCATAACATGTGGGTGCTACATTGTACAGTGGCATAAAGTGCCGTAACGTGCACTCCTACCTACGTTTTTTTTTTTCCTACCTACGTATATAAAAAGTGTGATGTTATGTTATAACGAGGATTTTAAGAGATTGTTCTATTTAAATCTTGTTAAATACGTATACCCCTATGGCCTGCAAATGCAAATATTAATAATGTTTGCATCACGGACGGTGAAAAAAGGATACGTTGCATAAAAAACACAAAAAGTATTTTGCTAAGAGTATTAACTACTAATCATAGATTTTATCATATCAGTGCTACTAATCGACTAACTTGTCACATTCCTATTAATGTCGAGCACCTCACTAGGAAGATTGAAATTAAGATGGCGTGCATAAGATAAAAAAATACATCTGTCTGTCTAAGTTGATTTGATTTTTTGTTACGTTTTTGAGAAGTTTATCTAAACGTAATGTAAATTGAATAGCAATCTAACGTTATATTTAGTTTATGTGTTTATTTTAAACTACTACAATGTGGCACGAAGCAAGGAAACAAGAACGGATGATCCGTGGAATGATTGTTGACTATCGTCGAAGGGCGGAGCGCCGTAAGGACTTTTACGAAAAGATTGTGAGCCAATCGTTTGTTTACCTGTTTATCTTTGATTAATTTATATAATACTACTTTTTATAAGATGGATACTTAATCATTTTAAAAGAGCAAATCGAATTTCTTATCTCTTGCAGAAAGCGGAACCTACACAATTTTTGCAACTCCATGGGCGACCATGCAAAATACATTTAGATCCAGCTATTGCAGCGGCTGGCGAGGGCCCTGCTATAATGTTAGTATACACATAAAAAAACTTCCACACGACCACTCGAAACAAACAAATTCTATTCTATAATCTTAATTAATCTTTTTAGTCGTAACCGTGACCACTATTCGCAAGACCGTCAATTGGACCCTGTTAAGTAGAAAGGATCCAGCCCACATTTTATTACTTTTGAGTAAATTAAGTTAATAGTAATCCTGGGATACAATGATGGTGACATGATTTCTTTTTATTATCAGCCCAACATTAACCTTTATTTACTCAAAAGTTAATGTGGGCTGGATCTTTTCTGCTTAACAGGGTCCAATTAAGAAATAGAAATAACTTATCGCTTCCTACCTCCAACTTATCAATATTTCAATATTCATATTGCATGTCAATAAAAATTTACAACAAAATACCAAGTAATATAAAAAAAGAAACAAAATATACTACTTTCAAAAGAAAACTTAATGAATATCTCATCGATAAATGCTATTATAGTTTGCAAGAGTTTTTTGAGAAAAAACAACAAAACGAAAAAATAAAAAAATGAAATAATAACAATAGAAAGGAAAATGATGGTAATGATAATGAATAAATAAAATTGTGCAAATAAGGAGTTGGTAGATATGTATAATATGTAGAATATAAACGAAAATCAATTGAAGCAATTGTGGTAATACTTTAATAATATGTTATGTAAAATCTATGAATAATATAGTGTTTTTTATTAATTAATATAAATTGCAGCGCCCTTACAGGGTCATGTTGATTAACCAAAATAATATGTATTATGTATAACACCTTGGTACCTACACGTGAAGCAATAAAGACTTTGAAATTGAATTTGAATCCCAGTAAAACGACAAAATTCGACAAGAATACATACTGAGTGCTAATATTAAATTTGATGGCAATCTTGAGATAATAATCAAACATTTAGTTTGCTCTGATGTAATATTGAATTTACAGTACTAATTAATACATAATCTAACTAAAATACTTTTGTTTCATAGGATGCCTTGGCAAGGAGATACCAACAACATGATAGACCGTTTTGATGTGCGAGCCCACTTGGACTACATACCAGAAGTGAGGTACCCTGAAATACCTCCAGAAGACCTGAGTCCAGAAGAAAGGCAGTGCAACTATGAGAGATATAGGATTCTGGCACAAAATGTCTTTTTGGGAATAAGTAAGAGCCAATGTTTATTATTTACGTTTTTAAAACTAAATCAAGGAACTTTGCGAATTGTAGTAGAACAATAGTGTTCTGGTAAATTAACACTTAATTCTTACAGGTGAAGACAAGTTTCTCCAGCAGTTGGCAATTGAAGAGCAGTTTGGAGTAACAATAGAAGAGAAAGAGCATCAAAAAGAAAAACTTCACGAAAAGAAAGGAACTGGTGCTGCTATAGGATACAATTATAATGATCCAGGAGCACAACCGTCTGGTTCTAACGGTAGATTCAGCTTTACTGTTATACCTCAATGTGCTGTGATGCTTTGACGGCTACTTATGTCTGGTCACGGGGTAGTATATTCTACAGTCTTTTCTGGGTATTCTTATGGCATGCAGTGTTAATTACAGGACCAGACACTAAAAAAGTGGAACAGAAAGATTCGGATGATGATTCGGATCTGGAAATCATTGACGTCGACTTAAGCATTGATGTGAACAAGATGGAGGCTTCACAGGTGAGCACTTACTAAGTTAATAATACTCTTAGAACTACAATATTCCCCCACTCATCATCCATGATGACTTTAAATGTCACATGCTCTCATAACAGCTATTATGTATTCTCGAAGTAACTCCTAGGTCATTATTTATAATTATGTGCATACCATTAACTGTGTTACTAAAGGAATTATAGCTTGATAACCAACTGCTACTATTGTATAGTTGGAATGTTATCAAAGAAATATGGCATGGTTATTTATGCAGTGATTTATATAAATGTATATTTACAAAAGTCTATTGTATTACAGTTTTTTAGATATTAATGTTTTGTAGATTGTATATAACAATCTTTTGTTTTGTATGACCCACTTTTTTAGTTTTCTATTGAATGACCCATTTGGCACAGAAATGTATTTGACTGAATTTCTGCATGACCTATATTCGTGTTTTGTTAATTACTTTGTGCATGTACTTGTATTCAAAGAACTAACTACCTTTGGCCTTTGTTACATCTTAATAATTGCGTATTTTCAGTAAATGTTCGGTTTTAAGTAAACATACTTTTGTCATTTAAAACGATTTGTTATATCGCTTCTACTTACGTTAAAATGTAGTTGACTATTTTTGTACTCTTGCTCATGCTACATTTTGCGGAGTACAGGCACACGAGCTGAATGGCGTGGGACCGCAGTTCGGCATGGCGGGTTGCGATCTCTTCTCGTTCCTGACCGGTGACGCTGATGATGCAGAGCACCAGAAGCAGCTACTAAGGGAAGAAAAGGAAAAGGCCATGTTCTCTGGGAGAAAGAGTAGGAGAGAGCGAAGGGCGCATCGGTGAGACTCCTTTGTGGTTCATTTCTTATTAAAGTTTAGAATGATTTTTATATTAAACCTTTTAACTTACAATAGTTTCAAATCTAAGCAGTTAATGCTTATGATTGAATAAAGATGAAGGCCACAGGCAATAACATAAGCTATTTTTATTATTAATAACCATCAAGTATTGTGATGCGCCATTATAGTCTTAAGTCTTCTTTGTTTGATATTGAATATAATAAAAATAATAAATAACAATTCCAATTTCATGCTGCCGCAAGAAGTTATACTATTGAGGCACGCAAGTAAGATCGTCTCCTTATTATTAAGTTGCGAGTCGGCGTGTTATAAAGCAATAACACTTATTTTGCAGCGACAAGAAGCTCGCTACAAGGGTGGTTAGTCCTCCTAGTTACGCTGCTCCGTCGTCAATGCCGGCACGGTCGCCGAGCCGATCACCTAGTCGCAGCCCTTCTCCAGATACGGGCGAGAATATACAATTTATTACGTCTTTCGGTGGAGAGGAAGAAGAGAAACCACGTAAGTATAGAACACCACTACTTAAATTTCGTTACAAGGTCAAAAATAATTGTGAACCTACCTAAATTTTAACTGCTTGTTTCATCTTTACAGCACCCAAACCACTGTATGCAGACAAAGTAAAGCAGAATTTGAAGATGTTATATGCTGATGTAGCACGCAAACCACGTAGCAGGTAAAACTCAGTCACAAACAGTATATATTTCGAAGAATATACCATGCTACAGGAATTAATTTACTTGTGAACTTTTAGGCCTACACCACCAAGTAGCCGCCGTCGACCGATTGGACCCAGAGGACCCAACTCACGTTCAAGGTCGTTCTCGCGATCCCGGTCGCGCTCAAGGTCACGTTCGAGGTCGCGTTCTTGGAGGAAATCTCGGTCCAAGTCTCGCTCTTCCCGATCCCGCTCCGTGACCTCCAGGTCAAGGTCTCGCTCCTACAGTCCGTACAGACGAACTCGCTCGAGGTCAAGGTCACGTAATCGTAGAAACCGATATTCTCGAAGCCCGGCAAAGTTTGTATTCACACCTATTACTCTCTACACAATAGTTCACTTGTATTTAGGTTGAAACTAATTGTCTTTGTATTTTCCAGTCAAGCTAGTGGTTATGCCAAGCGTAATAAGTCCAGGTCGATGTCGTTTGAAAGGTAAGCTCGTTTTGAAATTATTATTATATTTGATTGGTGAGGTGAGTCAGACAAAGTGAAGGAGCCGTTATTATTCCAAGTGGTAATTTGACACTTTTACGTAAAATGATTTAGAAGTTTTGAGTTAATGTCGATATTGTGTTGCAGTAGCGATAAGAATGCGCAGAGCAAGCCGGCCGTGCCGCGGTACTACGGGCGACGCAAGGAGGACCAGTCGTCCAGTGAACTGTCCATAGACTCCGACTCGAGTGAATCCGACGAGGACGCGAAAAACAAGTAAGTATATTTTGCCAGGTGTACTAAGCTACGGTATTGTTAAGGTTGTGCAACCAAAAATGTTATTTCAATTTCGTGAATATTAACGCACAGCACGATATTTTGCACCAAAATTAACACAAGACTGCCTCGTTGGCCGAGTTGTCTCAAGTGCGACTGCCGGGCAAGGGGTCTCGGGTTCGATTCCCGGGTCGGGCAAAGTATTACTGGGTTTTTTTAAAACTCTCAGTAGTAGCACGGAGTCTGGAAATGTGCCCGGTATATGGCAATAGGCTCACCCCCTATTACATGGGACTCATAACATAAATAGTGAAAAGTGGGTGTTACTTCTATGTGCACCTCTGCCTACCCCTTCGGGGATAAAAGGCGTGATGTTATGTTATTAACACAAGCAATGTTCACATTTCAGAATGGCGGTGGGCAATAAATCCAATACAAACCAGAATCAGTTACGATTGTCTGGATCCAGCTCCAAAGTCAGTAAGAATCATTTGCTTTTATACATTTGTTCTGCTTTCATTTTAGCACCTTACGACGTTTCTGGCCAGTAGTTTAATCAACAGCAGATTTCGCTTTTTTACTACAATCTGACAGTTTGCGACGAAACCTGCTAAACTCCTGGTTGTACGTTTATGTGTCCCCTGGCATTCTTGCTCGAATTGTTTGAGATGACTTTTGCTTGAATATCATCCTATTGTGTTACCCGCAGTGTCTTAAGTGTTTTTTCTCGTAACTTATCGAAATCCCTTTTTGTTGCACAAAAGTTTATCCTGTGAATTTTGAATTACTTATTGGCAGTAATATTTTATTGGCCACAAAATTGGTTATCCATAGTAAACCCGTCGTAACTTAATTCATTATCTTATTGTTTCTGCACTGTCTTTTACATTAAGTACATAGACAGGATTGCCGAAAATGTAGCAAAATGTCGACGCCAAGGTTTCGGGGTAAAGTATTTCTCATCGTCCAAAGTTGCTCTACACTTCAATTTCAGGGTTTATCCAACAAAACTGATGAGGTGGTCCAGCAACATTTTTACGAGAATCTTTCTCAGTAAAGAGTTGATTCTCCCAATTTCGTATATATAGAATTAACATGACCATCTTTGCAGGGTCCGTCGCGTGAAACGCTATCACTGAAAGAAAAACTCAAGAGGAAAATGCAGGCACAGTTATCAAGGCAGCGTGAGTTTTATAAACTAAGACAGTACAAGATTTACTAATGGAATTTACACAACTTAAAAAGTCAACACTTACCACAATGTTTCAAAATCGAATGTAGCCATTTCCATGAATGTGACGTATTGGTTTATACAGTTCGCGCGGACAAGCGGGCTGAAGCCGAGCGTCAGGAACGTGAGAGCCGACGGCAAGCGCGGAGGGATGAAGAGATGAGAGAACTGGCCATCAAACTTAGACGCAAGTCTGTATTCAGTGACGAAACAAACTTACTAAGAAAAACAAACGATTTCTTATTCTTATTTTATATTATAAACATGACTGCGTGGTTGGTGGCACGTATTCGTAAAATGTAGAAATATTCTATCGTGACATTTGTTGCAGGCAACGTGAAATGCGGCACCAACAGAATAGAAGATCGAGTGAAGATGACTCTGATAGAAGTCGTAGTGGATCATCTTCTAGGTATGTATAATTGTAATCATAATATTAAAACATATATATATGTTGATAATAGATACAGACTAAATAAGGATTTGTAAAATTTTACTTAAACTGTCAAACACCAAGCGGTCACCGGTGACCGCGACCTATTGTTCTTTAATTGTGTCTATAAAACCGGTACTCGACGAGTTAATAATGATTAATTAATTTTTTGCAGAGAATCACTCTCTAACGGCAAAAAACGAGAGGACAAAAGCAAATCGCGCAGCGCGTCACCACCCGCACGCATTCCAGTGTGGGAAACTAACCGAGATTTCGCATCAACGTCACAAAGACCCCGATCTGATTACAGTATGAACAGGCCTAGAGAATATGGAGAGAACTCATACTATTCAGACAGGCGGCGGTATCACGATCAAGACAGCAAAGACGATAGGAGAAATGATGACGATAGGTCTCAATACTATTCGAATAGGTACGATAAGTACCAGAATCGCGAACAGGGGCAGGGGCGGTATGACAGCTACAATCGATATGATAACCAGAGTTACGAAGGCCGGTGGAAAGAGGATGGTTACAATACGGGGCGAAGGAGGCCTTATGGGCATAGAGGGGGTTATAGAGGGCACGGGTATAGGCACAATGATCATCATAGTAGTAGTCCCTCTCAAGACCATGATAGAGACACTAGCGAAGGGTACTCCAAAAACAAAGTGAAACTTGTAGATTATTAGATAGGAAAGTTAATGCCAAAATAGGTGAAATCTATGTAGTTATTGAAATGTTAGTTGTGTAGGATTGTTTGTGTAGAATTTTACTTTCAACATATCGTAGGACTTAAGTTTGTATGTATTATCGTACGTTTTATTTTTTTTTATATCGAAATTCACTAGTCTTTTTTGTAACATCTCTCTGCCCTGTAAAGTTTATTTATTACTTTTGAAAATTCCCAAGTGTTGGCCTCCACCGAATAATTTCATTTTTCATATTGTATACGTTTATATTTTATTACTTGTCTATTACGTATAGCTGTTCTTATTTGTAAATTAAATGAAATAAAATGATGTATTAAACTACTAATTCTATCATAATTTTATTTACCTGTTTTCTATTGGTATATTTAAATTATTTGTAGCCAGAGCCATAATGAGTATGAGTGACATATGGAAGGAAAGGACGTAGAAAAAACGCGGACACATTCTCTTGAAACGATTGTGGCACCTGGCTACCATATATAGATTTACAAGCAGAATACAAACACATTGACACGAAGGACATCTACCGCGTGTCATAACCCGTCATTACGCTTTATACATAAGGTGTTGCAAGTACACACATAAATAAACCACTGATATTTTGTTGCTTCAATCGCTTCCAAGTGATATTAAGTCCACCTTTTGTTCAACGACCTTGATGAAAGGTAAAAAAAGGATTTAGGATTCTGGATTAATGGCTAATAACTAAAACATGCTCTAATAATAAATACTCAAACAGTTTATTGGTTCTTTCTTATAAAAATATAGGATTCTCTGTACACTAAATGCAACTTATTTACATTTAATAAATAATTATTACTCAGGTCGTTTAAAATACATCAGTAAACTAACCTACATTTATTTTGTATGTATATAGATAATGCTGAAAAGAAATCAGCTGCACGTTACGAACACTATGTATGTACGTACACCACACAAATTGGGTATTTCATTGTAATTACTACTGTTCCCAAAATAAGTACCTTTTCATTCATAACTTGATCATTTTAAAGTTCTAACGATGCGTTGAATCGCAAAATAATAAGTAAAAAACTAGACGATATACCCCTTCGTATCAAAACCTGGGCATTCTAGACAACGTCTTCGAGAAGATGAAAAGCGTTTGACCACTGAAGCCGAATATTCCTCCGACCGCAATTTTTTTCTCATTGGCAATATCTCTTCACAAAGCCGATTCATAGCACATTTGCATGAAGAAAATACCTCAAAGTTTCAATTCACTTTAGTCCAAACAGTTTCAATTAATCACTGAGTGTGTCAACATCAATGTCTTCGTTGTCATCGTTGGTGGAGTCAGGGTCTCGTCCAGGTAGACCTGTTGTGCCTGCTATGCCACCGCGCCCTTCTTTAGTATGTCGCCATTTCATACGGCGGTTTTGGAACCAGACTTTTACCTGTGAACAAACAAGATTTTCGAAGCTTAATAACTAAAAAAAATTGCGACGGTGACTTCTATTTCTATTGGTGGTTATCCTTGATATTTAGCTACCGACATTTTTCTGCTTTTCTACCTCTTTACGTAAGTACACAAAATACTTCTAGTCTAATCTAGGAGCTAAACTATCTTATTATTTTTAGTAGGTACCTACGTGGTAGAGTTATTCTTCGGCAGGAATTTATCAGCCGGCTCGACCGGAGTGATACCACTGCCTTGAACAGTAGCGTGATACTGATACAACACGTGTGTTATTTTTCACACTGAATGAAGTTACCGGAAACAATCCTTCACCGTATACCGAATCCTCTAATCCCAAAAAGCCGACAACGAATTTTTTGCTCCTATAATGTCGCAGTGTTCCATTGGCGAAGCCGATTGTATACCATCAGGTGTACTGCCTGCAAACGGACAGGTAAACCGGCCTATTTCCTAAAAGTTTCATTAACAAATTGACTTAAACAGTTTATCAATATCAACTTTCTTAAACATTGATATTGACGAAATGGAAAATTTAAACAGCTCAGCATGCCTAATCATAATTATATGTATTAAATTATCTGGTCTTGCACCTGAGCATTCAACAGAAATCTACATAACATAAGTATTTAAACTGTCAAACACCAATCGGTCACCGGTGACCGCGACCTATTGTTCTTTAATTGTGTCTATAAAACCGGTACTCGACGAGTTAAAAAACAACGTAAGTAACATCTAATTGGTAACTATCAACAGATAAGTATGATTACCAACAGTGTTAATTAACTTTAGTGTATTTTCACACCAGGCCAGCAGCGACGTCGGCGCCATACCGCCTGCGGTGCTATCGTTGGGAACTAATATCTGATACAGATGTTTTCGTACGATATCGACAGCTTGACCAGGATGCTTACTCTTGAAATCAATCTCAATATCAATGCAATTGCAATTCAATGAAAACTCAATAATTATTCAATGTCAAAATTACACAATCCCTATTATTGTAGTTGTTAAAATAGCATTCAGAGTACGGAATATAAATACAAACTCTATACCATTTATTTCATTAAATATCCACGCAATACGGATGCAATGGGCGCTAGTGTTGGAACTCAAGAGTAGGAAACTTCACAATATCAATGTCGATCGATCGGAAATGGATTCAAGAGTAAGCCCACTGAACCATGGTTTAGCGTAGTGTAGTGTGGTGTTAATTATAGATCTTGTCCTATGTAAGATAGATTGACTATTACTAGTACCTATTAGTTAGATCATAAACACTATACGAAGGCTTTACCTTTAGGTATAGGAAATAAGGTTGATCTTCCTATTTAATTATGCACAGCCTCGTTAGTTGCGTGGTTACAAGTGCGACTGCCATGTTCTTGAGTTTTAAACCATAAAAATATCTTAGGTCCAATTCAGGCAAAGGGTTTACGTAAATTCTTAGATTAGATATAGCACGAATTCGCCCGATTTGGTTATTGGCTAACCTCCTCTTTAGGACTGTTTCATATAGGGTGAATACGGTGAAAATGTGCACCTTTGCCAACAGCTTCGGAGACAAAAACGATGTGGAGTTATATTATATGATCAGTTGAGTAAGTAGGATGTAACTATTAACCAAGAAAATAACTAACTTGAGCATCAGTGAGTCCTAAGGTAGCCGCCAGTTGTCGCCTGTCTGGCTTCGTAATATATTTTTGTATTTGGAACCGTCGCTCCAGTCCTTTTCGTTGAAGGTTACTGAACACTGCTCGGGACCAGGATCGCTTCCTCTTGCCACTTGACGTGACGTCACACCGAGGAGCTGATGATGACTGCGGTGGTGATGACGAGGGAAGAGGTAGCCTGTACACTGGAAACAATTTAAAATTCTTAAATGGTAAGGGCACCGCAAATAGAAACTTATTGTAGAGGTACAAGATAGAACTTCTACCTATTGGGATAAAATAATTTTCTCAATCGAATACATGATTCAAGTAAGATTGGCTCTTCCCTTTTTTATGTGATAGGCGTAAACAAGCCTCGAAAAACGGACATCTGATAGTAAGGCATTAGTGCAGTTCCACTTATAAGCATATGCAACATCACCCTTGGGTTAAGGCTCTAAACCTTTTCCAAACTATTCCTTAATCCGACACAACGGTCATCTTCGGAGTTCACTATGAGGCAGTCCGCCGGGTTCAAACCGTTCAAAACATTTGGATGCGTTTCCTACGTTTAGAATTTGAAAGGAATATTTGACTGAACCAAATTAGGTGTAAACCTATCTATAAATTTTTCTGTATTTTTCGAGATGCAAGGTACTTCTAATTTTTAATACAAAAGGTTAGTAGAGCTTGCAAGTCTACCAAAGCAATAGATTAAGCAAAAAAGTTGACAGATACATGGAACACTAACATAATAAATGTAAAAGTTTGCAAAAATATTATTAGTAATTTAGTACCTAGACACTTGATACAGATTTAATATTTATGAAAGCGCAACTCGCCATGTACCTTTGATTTTTTTTTATTTTAAAGCATCACGGTTGGTGTCTAGAACTGTAGTATAAACTACAGTTCTAGACATAAATTAATATAAATTAAGAGACATACTAAATTATGCTTTTCATTCAAGCCATGCTACAGGTTCATATGCTCATGAATATGAGCCTCTAACGTGGCTTAAAACTAGTCGAGTTCCTCGTCAAACAGTTGCGTGAGTAAGCCGAAAATATAAATATTAATTTAGAATTGTAGTTGCACCGAGCGACGGTAAATATAGCATGGATCATCAGTCAGATCAGTTTTACCTAGGAATCCTAGCATTACTGGTGAAAAGTGCTTGCTACATTAATTAAAAGAGTAATAGAGAACATAGAGAATCTTCTTCTTTTTGTGTAAGTAGTTGCATTTTGTTCTGTGTTCGATACTTTTACTTTATTTTCTTTTCCTTATTAACGCGAATCACTACTTTGTTTTGTAATAAGTAGGTATGTAGTGTTCTTTGTATTTGTTTTTTTCTTGTATTTCTCGTATCTCCAACATCAAGGAATTTGTCTTTCTGCAGATTTAAGATATCTATAATATTTAACTGGTCCGAGGTGGGAGCCTGGAGATCCGTCACACAGCGAAACCTAGTACGGACTCCAGTCTCTCACAAAGGAGTGTATTGTTTGCATCTTATTATTATACTTACCTATCTTATTTCTGTGAAATGATCCTCCTTTCCGTTTATATAATAAATAAATACATTTATTATTATTATTTAATTTATGCGCCTTATCTAACACTTTAAGGGAGTGAAAGAGGCAATATTATGTTATGTGTTTAAAGATTAGGTACTTAAACATTCCGTCCCTGTAAATTTATATAATTTCATATCATTAACAGAGTACGTAGATAATTTAATAGTGATCAAAATTCGAAATTATCTCTTTATATATCGCATCATCTCATAATTTATCTCATCCCGGACGATATTTATCTATATCTGTTTATTGCACAAACGAGAGTTCATTACAAAATATTTTTAGAAACACAAACAAATAATATTTCCTACTACAAAAAATATCATACACGTACTTACCTACGTATAATATTTTCCTACCTACCATTTACACGTCAGTTCTTTTGGCGAAGTAAAAGACATAAACGAGATGTAGATGGCGGACGTGGATTGTGAATTAGGTGAATTGTTCAATAGATTTCTAAATCGTAATGGACAACAATAACAAATAACAATGATAAAATATATTTAAAACTAACTTAGTTGACCCGGCGAACTTCGTGCCGCCTAAATATATTTTTCTCACCTTAAAAATCTGAACTTCCACGATAACATTATTGAATGGGTAGGCAAGTAAAATTAAAACTAGGGATTTTTTTTAAGGGGGGAAAATCATCGAATGTCTGCTCCCGCCTGGGTGAGGTGGGAGGGAGTGTCAGACTCTTACTGACTAAAAACCACCCCGTTCCTTCTCCTGCGCTTCGAGCCGGTGCCGGTAACCCGTTAGGTTCTCTAGGGATAGATTACTCTTTGCCTAATCTAACATTAAATTGCAGCCGTTAGGCTCTAAAAGTGGATGGTAGATAGTACCTACCTACATTTATTTATTTCAATTACATATTTATTTATTTATTTATGTATTTATTACATTTCATTATTAATTTACTTTAGTGTTTATTACAAGTGGTTATATATTATTTATTTATTGAAACTTAATGCAAATATATGTACTACGGAAGACTTACCTAATGCCTTATTCATTCGCTACCAGTCAACTTTTGAGTGATGCAGAAATGAGAATATTATATAGGTTACTAGCGACTCGCCCCGGCTTCGCACGGGTTCAATATTCATGTATTATAAATATATAAACCTTCCTTAAGAATTACTCTATCTATTAAAAAAACTGCATCAAAATCCGTTGCGTAGTTTTAAAGATCTAAGCATACATAGGGACAGACAGACGGCAGATAGCGACTTTGTTTTATACTACGTAGTGAGTGATGTATTTCAGTATTTAAACATTTTTTTAAACGTTGCTCCTCACTTGGATTTTTTCCTGTGTCGTGGGTTTACAAACATACAATTTCACAGACACAACGACACTTAGTATTTATATTTCTCATTACTAAGACTTTTTTATTTATGTAAATGAAAATTTATCGTGAATGGGTTCCTAAGCTCAAAACCAGGGTATGAATGAACCGATTTCGAAGGAAGATAAATTGTTATCAGAAAAGAGTTCTTCTGAAAAAACACCAAGAGAAGTTACCAGATCAGTAAAAAAAATGCACCAGGGCGAAGCCGGGACAAGTCGTGCCATATATATTTTTTGAAACATAAAAACTTTACAAATGAATGAATTTCAATACTCTTAAGCTCAACCCTTCACCCCTATTGCATGGAAGATGAATCATGGAAATCATAACATAACCGGTAAAACTTCGGCCTTCTCCATCGGGGATTAAAAGCCGTGGCATATTTTAATCAATTCATTCATCTAAAATATCTTATCAATAAAATAAAATTGTAACATTCTAATTTCACACATTTTTTTATTTTTTATTTAATACTTCTGCACGTATAACACAAGGCGGACTGAATGCCTAAGACATTCTCTGCCAGTCTACCTTAGGGTTGTACAGAAAAATGACAGGGTAGGTGCATAAGCTGTAATGCAAAATGATTATCAATTAAATTTTGATTAAATAAATGTTTACAACTCCAATCGGTTGGACCAATAATAACAAATATTCACTAATTAAATATTTCTTGTAAAATTTATCTAAATCAATGGAAGATCGATATTTAAAAACGGAATAAAATCATCAAAGAATGAAAAATTAGAACATACCTGTAGTAGGCCTTAATGCTGGATGTAAATGTGTGTATGGAAGAGGCAAGGGAAGCTGAAGAAGGGGAGGTTCATCCCTGCAGCAGCGGTACAGCGCAGCCACGCAACCGGCGCATGGTGGCTCCTGACTCCGAGACACCTCCGTAACCGGCGTACTCGAGTGATGAGAATCATTATTACCCAAAATACTGTCCACACTAAACTTCAATTTTGTCACAGAATTAACATCACTATTCAAAGACGTCATTGTCACTCAATCCCATCAACGAACCGACACGAAGAACCTTCTGTTATGAAAGCAACTGAAAAACTGACAAGCGTCGCGCCTCCGTTATCGGCGCAAGCGCAAGCTAGGGGCGTGGCGATTCTAATGAAGCGTTCCGATTGGCCGATTGTTATTGGGCGTTACGCCGCTGTTATGGAGTAAGGCAGCATTGACTGATCGTGGTGGTACCAACAACTGCACTTGTTTACAATAAACTGCTTCTTTAATGTGTTTTATATGGCTTTGCACTTTAGATTAAATTTTATTGCTAAGGAACTTGCGTCATTCGTCAGTTTATAGGATCTTCTCAAAATTCCATTAAGTATTTTCAACTATGAAGTTGGCATGAGTACCTACTTTAAAAACAAATTAAGCTTTAAATATTATTTACTGTTCTAAAATCAAGTGTTTACTTACCAGAACCCTGGCAAGCTACACAATTAAAATATATTGTAAATACTTTAATATAATACTTCTAATCACCAGCACTTACCTAAGAGACTACCAGAAAATAAAAATTTAAAGACTAGGGAGAATCTTCTTTAGATGATGATACCTATACTTCTTTATTACAGCGCCAACACCGCGAATAATACTATTATTGAAGTTACTAATAAGAACCAAGTTTTTTTTGCTGTTAATTATAATAATAAAATAAACCTAGTGTCTATTGAGACACTTATAAAAATACCTACAACTTGCTTAACGCTAACAAAAGTTTTGCAGTTAGGTATCTGTCGTCGTTATACTCTTCAGAGGGCAGTTGTTCAGCTTCACAATCCAACACCATTTTCTGTACATTGTTTTTTTTTGGACATTTCTGGAGCGGATAATGAACCACTGCACTCAATGGACTTTAGCAGATTATTAATTTATTTTCCAATCAGTTTCGCCAATTCTGAATTACCTTTACGAATTATTAAACTGATTTAATTCTACTACAAGGCGCTTAATAGAAGTCTGTTCCAAAAAAAGTAAGCATATGACTTTGGATGTGATGAAATAAAAAATAGTTTGTTTTATACCAATTTTAAGGAACATCACTGAGACGTTGTGTCAATACAAGAAATCTTCTTCAGTAGTTTTTCACTACTTTTCTCAGACTCGGTACCTTGGCGGCAGGATATCTAAAAGAATATGGGCAAAATCATCTATGGTTGCCTCATCGCAGTAAAATATAATTATTCGATATCTGAGTGGATACCTAATTTAATTTAATCCTGATGAGATCGAAATTTGCCAACTTTCCGCGAGTAAGTATAATGTAAGAGTTGACTACAGAACTACTCAGACACTTGCATTTGACAGAGACCAAGCAGCAATCAGAAGTCAGAACTTTTTAAATGCAGGTCGCTTGCAAAGCTCGGAAATTATAGGAGTTTCTATTGATGTAACTGTTTGCCCTATAAAGAGGAAACGGGGAGAGCTTAATAATAAACCGGTAGTTATTTCAAACTACTTTTCTTAAAAAATAGAAAAGATTTTAAAGAACAATAGTTATTCAGCCTACTCGTATATCAAATCACACATCCAAAAATGTCGGAAGCTGAATTTGCAAAATCAAGTAATTTCAAATTCGGACGCCATTTAAAATTAATTAAAAATGAAAAATTTTTTTTATTCCTTCTTTTTCACACCTAATCGACCACAACTGCCCTGTAGTTATCGATAAGGGGTTTCAGGTTTGACAACCGAATACAGTTAACTTTTATTGGACATACGGGGTACAGAGACTGGATGTTTTTTAGTGTAGGTATGAAAATAGGCTATACACAGCCCTATTACAGATGTGTAACTGATATTAGTTGTGCTAGTTATTCGATCATGTTGTGTTAGAATATGAATTGAGTTAACAACGTACTTATGAAAATTTAGCTAATTTTTCCCAATGCCGGAAAAGAAGAAGAAGAGAAAAAGTGCATCTTGTATCATCATCCAATGAAAAGCTAAGAAATCAGTAGGCGTAAACATTTTTCTATTATCAAGTCATGTAACTGTTTGTAGAGCTGCATACCTATCTATCTGGAATACCTACGTTGCTAATGAACCAGATATCCAGACCACCAACACCAGAGTAACTAGGCTAGGTGATTTGTTACAATCGATAAACAACTTTCCTTCCAAATTATCGACTGAAGTTTATAAAACTATCAACAAAGAACTCCAGTTTTCCAAATTTCTAAATGCAAAAATTTAAATTATCCTGAATGATTTTCACCTCAATAAATCCTTAGGCTTTCAACCGCACATACAAATAAGAATGTGGGTTCGAGTATACAAAACAGATCCAAGAATAAAACTGAATATTTCGACCACACTCGATTATACCCACTTACCTAAACATAATACAGAATCAATCGATATAAGAACAACTGTTAGCTCTAAAACGCTCAAATCGATTACGGTTGAGTTTATTTTGCTTGTCAGAGTACACCTGTGCTACATCCGCGGCCACAGATATAGATCCCATCATTACAGAGCATCGGCACGCTGCGCTCGCGCACATTGTTTACTCGATAAGTATCAATGATCTGTGGCCAACGAAATTATTATGCATATAAGTAGCTATACCTAGCTACTAATTATAGCGCACCCCGCCAGATGTGGACGATGTAATCGACAGTTTTATTTAAAATATTCCCATCGCCAGCGCTGTGTGCTTAGAACCATTGAGGATTTTTTTCGCTATCCGACTGTGTTTTGGTGTAAGAAAATACGACTGTTTATTTTAAACGTTTTCTCTTTATTTTACTTTTATCCATTAATTTTAATTTAGATAGGAGTTTATAACAGAAATCTTCATTAATCTTCTATATTTAATGATTACCTCCACATGTTGGAACTTAGGTGCACATCATTTAGCACGCAATAAAATTAACTGCTATAAAACGCTTTGCTTAAAGTCACAGTCACATTAGCAGTGCAAGGATTTCATGGTCGATATCGGCTGAGCATAAATCAGTAATATAGTTTAGAGTCAAACAAGATTGGTGTCAGTCGCCCGCGGTTGGCAAACGCAAAGCCAATAGGATCAAAAGATTGCCTCGAGAACGTATTGCTTGGCACACGTGTGAAATAGTGTGAATTATCTGACCGGCTGGGGGAGCTCTAAATCATAGCTATGGTTTATTTACCAATCATGATATATTTTATGATATCCGATAATTTGCGAATTCCTGATCATTTACTTTGTAAAATTATTTTTGTTCCAATACAACTAGACGCCATTTGTGTGCAGATATCTTACCTACGTAGTTTTCTTCCGTTATTTTAGCAATAAATTATAATCGCATCCATTATAACGCGGTCTGGAAAGAATAACTTAACAGTTTACACCAATCTTTCAGGATGTTGCAGTCGTAAACCATTTTTATATTATTTGCTAAATATTTACTTTTAACCGCTGACCCTCGCTAGAGCGAGACAATGAAAACTTTTAACGATTTAACTTCATTACCAACAAATGAGAAATATTTTAAACAATATTTTAAAAAATACGTAGGTTTTATTACTACTCCGGTAACTTCATAACCAAAATCATAAGACAGTAAAAACAAAGCCGTGTCCCAATTTGTTTTGAAATCTTCGCATAAGTAGCAATTGAAAAATAATAAACTATTAACCTAACATGTGGTAGCAGTTAATTACGCATTTTTATAACAAGCATTATATTTAACAATTTTATTACGTATCTACACACAGTTAAGACCTCCCGCAATTTAACCTTGAGCTACGTAATATGGAACGAGGTAATTCTCGTTCTTTAAAAGTCTAGACGTTTAGAAGTAGGTACTCGTTAAAAGAAAATTCTTTTTTTACCGGACGCCCAATTACCCCCTTCCCCAGTCTCCCCAATCCCCGAATCCCCATAATCGTCAAACTCCTAATTCCCAAAAGGCCGTTAACGCACTTGTAACGCCTAAGTTGTTTCGGGTGTTCATGGGCGACGCCGATTGCTTACCATCAGGTAATCCCGTTTACCGGCTTATCTCATAAAGAAAAGCGCAAAATTCTGACGTTTCGCAGTTCTTCCATTACAATCGCTATTAAAACATGGTGTAACGCAGTGGCGCCTCGAATGTTTATCAGAACTTGAATTAAAAACACGATAATCCGGGAATCAAACGGGAATAGCAGTAGCGACGGGTGTTCCAAACGACTTCCTTATACGATCGCCATTCTAATTCAAAACATTTTCCGGAAATCACATCTTGGGGAGATTTATTAAGTCTGCTGTTGTTTGTAAGATAGTAAAATCGTCATTAACGTCGATACTACCGAGTTACGTCGGATCGGATTCGAATCCCCGTACAATTAGGCCATCGGTATCGAAATAAGTGTATCAACAAACACAGCATCCTTCGGGAGCGTTGTCCGTTCATTGTATTTTGTATCCTTATTTATAGATGTGTGATTGTTATTCTTCAGTTTCTTTATTGTAGTTGTAATGACTTTTATGATCCTCTTGTGGATAAATATACAAAATCTGTGTCAGTTATAAATATTGAAGCTATTGAGTGACCACCTAAGATTCACCACCGAATGCTAGATATAAGTAAATAATGAACGGTTTTGTAAGTGTAAACTCAAACTAAATATTGTAATTGTATTTTTGAAAATGTTATTGCATTTATTATATTATTTGTAGGTATTTATTTAGAAAAAAAATATAGCATTTATTTGTATCCCAGGAATTTTAAGTCTTTTGATAAAAAATGCCTTAAACTGTAAGCAGGTTCGATTGATCATCATCATCAAGACGTCCAAGATGATGAATGACTTCATTCATGGTTCCAACGTCTTTCAAGTGGGAATCGAGAAAATAATCTGCAACCAGCGACCCCTGTGACACAACACGTAGAACAGACAATTTAAGGGATATAATAATCTAGAATCGAAGCTACATAGCAAAAACCAAATCAGTCTTGCCAAAACGTAACTTACTTATTTATTACTAGCTGTGCCCGCGACTTCGTTCGCGT